TTTGAAGGCATTCGACCCGGCAGTGCAAACATCATTTGGAAACCCGGGAACCATTTTGAACATATTGGCAATCGCGTTCCACATGGTAGCAGCTGCCAGCTTTCGTAATGTGCGCAAGTTCTGGCAGATCAATTTGCAAATTCATAGCACACAACTATTAGTGCTTACAAAAGGGCAGTTTATTGCAAAATGGACTATGCTTTGGTGCGTCCACCACATATTTTTGTGCAGCCAACAATGAGGCAGAAGGATGGGCACCATAGACTCGTACAATATGAGTTTGCTCCAAAAACACACGTTTTACAAAATTACATGATCTGATCTTTCTCCTCCAGCCATACCTCACGTCTTTACAAAATGACCACTTTAAAGTAATTTTTCCACGCGCGTTTTTGCCCCAGCAGGTCACGACTGCTTTTATACTGGCCAGTCTCCAGCTGTGCATGGGCTGTTGGCTGTTTTTTACTGGACAGTTTCCAGATGTGCAAAATCTAATGGGTATTAGGTGCAAGGATGGGGGGGCAATACGGTGAACTTTTTGCGGAGATTGTGCGGGTGGAGTGCTCAATCGCGAGGTGTTATGCGAATTTCTTGCCGAAGCGTTCAACCAATTGACGGTGGAGGTTGACGAAATGTGCAGCAGTCGCCGGAAATGGTAGCCAGAGTGTGCAACGGCCGAAGCGGAGGTGGAGGTTGGTAAAGATGGCCACGTGGCAGGTTAGATGTAAGGAAGTAGTTTCTGGGAGGTGTGGTTTCAAAACTGGCAACTTGTACAAGAACTGGTCCTTGGCATACCGTGTGGCCAAATGACGTGTGATGTCGCTGTGCCATGCGGTTTTGTGCGGCCTGAGTGGAAAGTGCGTTACTGCTTTACCTGTTTTGACGGATGTGGCAATTTTTGCATTTTTGCTGCTGTGTTTGTCCGTGCTTTCCTAGAGCTGCTATTACGGAGGGTGTGGGTGGGTGTGCGTTGCTCTCGATTTCGCTTGGGTTATTCTTGGGGTGTCCTTGCTTCAGCAAACATGTCTTCAACATCGAACACACCGGTTGTTGCAGTAAACCTCTTTCTACATATTGCCGTTTCCTTCCACGCTCCCAGGCCATCCGTCATTTGTTCCCGAAACAATGTGGACATATTTAGGGCTTCGTTTGGTAAGTGTTAAGTTAAGCAGTTGTTTCTTAGATCTGTGAAGCGCACGGGCGTGGACGGCTAATTCGCTGCTATTTGCACTGCGCTCATGCCTCTCGAAATCCCCGAACTGCATTTCGACTTCGCAGGCTCGCGAAATCTGGGTGGCTGGAGCGTGTGTTTGTCGCGACTGCGCTCTCGCTGTGGTGCCGTGCGCATTTTCGTACATGGTGGGCGCTTTTCGTGGCAGGTGCGGGGGAAACCTCGTGTTTTGGTGGTCCAAAGCCGACTTCTCGTGACAGGATCACGGGGTCGGAACGGTTTTAGTTTGAAGTGCAGAATTCGTGGCAGGTGCAGCACTTTGGAAATGGTGGTGATCGTCGAGGCGCTCTGACTTGGTGCAGCACTTCTGGTGGACTTTGTGAGCCTTGACGTGCAGACTTCGTGAAGGGCAGATTTCGTGACACGCAGATTTTGTTGCAGCACACCACTTGGTGAACCTGGCAGGCACAGCACTTGGGGAGCCTCGATGTGGAGAGTTCGTGGCAGGCATAGTGCTTTGCGAACCTTGAAGAGCAAATTTCGAGGCAGGCGCAGCGCTTTGTGCTCACTCTCACTCACACTCACTCAGACTCACCCTCATCCACACCCACTCTCACTCACAGTCCTTCTCACTCTCACTCTCACTCTCACCGTCGCTTTCACTCTCACTCTCACGCTCGCTCACACTCACTCACTCGCTCGCTCGCTCACTCACTCACTCACACACACACACACCCACCCTCACCCTCACCCTCGCCCTCACCCTCACCCTCACCCTCAGTCCTATTTACAGTCCCATTCACAGTCCTATTCACAGTCACGCTCACACTCACTGATGCACACAGATTCACATTCATTCGCTCTCACACTCACACTCACTCTCGCTCACACTCGCGCTCGCACTCACTCTCACTCACTCTCACTCACACTCACTCTCATCCACACTCACTCTCACTCACAGTCCTCCACTCCCACTCTCACTCACACTCGCGCTCGCACTCACACTCACTTACTCTCCCACTCGCATGGTGCGCGCGTGGTGGGATTTCAAGTCACGCTGGAATCCTCGGGATCGCCGCATCACGTGAAAACTTCATATGTAGGGGGGCCCCCCCCCGCGGGTTCAACTCCCCCCTGACACCTCTCGGGCATCTCTTATGGCATCCACTTTGGCTTAACTCCTCCGGGATACGGTGCAACAGATTCAACAAGCTCACATGTTCATGACATCGACATCGATAGAAGAAACCAAACAAATCATGCAAGCAGCTTTGTTTTGCCTTTGGGACACCTCTTGGCCTCTTGGGCACCTCTTATGGCATCCACACTGGTTCAACTCCTCCGTGGAGGTTTTGGGATACGGTGCAACAGATTCAACAAGCTCACAGGTTCGTGAACACATCGGATGCATCGAACAATGTGGCAAAGTCCAGCCACGCTTCCTTAATTATCGGGGACTTCAATTCTAAGGTTGGCTGTGTCATTGCTGTTTGTGTGTCTTACATGTTCACAACGTTTTACCTCATGAGCATTTGCCTCACTCCGCTTGATGTCCCACCAGTCCGGATGCACCCCTGCTAGCTTTCGTCACCTACCCTCGGCCTCAAGTTGGGAACGGTGACGCCCCGCTAGTAAATCGTTTCCTGATGCTGCTCGCGTAATTTCCTCATGCCCACCTCGTCCAAGGCGCGCTTGAACATTTTGGGCAAGTGTAATCAAAGAACGAGACCCAAGAACAGAACGAGACAACATGCATCGTTTTTTCTCGGAAGAACTTGGCCACCATGAAGTTTGAGGTGGATATGAAGCGTGCACTAGTGAAACTTTTCAGAGTGCGTGAACGTTGTGTTTGGAAACGCATTTTGATTTGTTCTTGTGGCTCATTCTGGGCCCCCACTGCATGTTTTTCAGGCCAAAACCTTTCAAATCACAATGGTAGGTGGCGTGAATTCCGAGGGGCGGCCATTTTGGAAGACAGGCGGTGTTACCAAATTTTTCTACTGTCCATGGCTTATACGGCTGTTTTCAAGAGAATCTGGGGCAAGAAGGTGCTTGAGGTGCTAAACGACACAAGCTGTTCAATTGTTTTCTTTTATTGTTTCTACCGGTATCAGTCTACGTGCTACCTTTTTCAGCATTTCTTAGCTGTCCAAGTCGTGCCAAATTAAATTCACCGATGATGGCTGAAATTGGTGAACTTTTGCCGTCGGTGGTCCTTGTGGTGGACCCCGTTTCTACCGGGGCTTGCTTTTCCAAAGTGGCGGCGGCTCGTGGTTTCCTGGTCATCGCACTGTGGAGCAACGAGGCTGCTGGTTCCACTCGCAAGATATCGTCCTGCGCTGACCACTCGAAGGAGAAGGTGTACTGGGCCACAGTGGAAGAAGAGGTGTCCATAGAAGAGACGGTGAAGGTCATTGAGCAGTCCATTGAAACCATTCATCCAGGTGCTCAAATCAGAGGCTGCGTCCCTGGCAGCGAGGCAGGTGTCAACTTGGCAGAACTCGTCTCGGAGCACTTGGGGCTTCAATGCAATGGTTTGTTTCCGGGAGGGGACCGTCGGAACAAACATGTGCAGCGCAATGCTTTGTTGATGGCCGGATGCCGGGCAGTTCAAGAGGTTCGTGGTTGTGCATGGGAGGATGTGAAGGAGGATCTGAAGCATCTTGGCCTCCCCATCGTGGTGAAACCGGTGCAGTCCAGTGGTACGGATGGGGTGCAGCTTTGCCGCTCCATGGGAGAAGTGGAGGAACACTTCAGACACCTGCGATGCACCAAGCGAAGGCTCACGTCCTCAGATACCGCAGTTCTGTGCCAAGAGTTTTTGTTGGGCCAGGAGTATGTTGTGGACCACGTGTCTCGAAACGGAGTGCACAAGACCGTCATGGTCTGGATGTATGAGAAACAACCCGCCAACGGCTGTGACTTTGTATATTATGCCATGCGGCCGATAGAGGTGGATGATTGTCCTGTCGGGTTGATTGAGTACACTCGTGCTGCGTTGGATGCCTTGAAGTTTTGCCATGGGGCAACCCATGCAGAAGTGATCATGACAAAGGATGGACCATGCCTTGTTGAGATGAACGTTCGGATGATGGGTGCTAATGGTTGTTATGTGAATTTGGCACGTTTGCTGACGGGGACTTCACATCCTGAAGCTACTCTTGATTGCTTGGATGGTGAACGTTTTGACGCTTTGCCTGATGTTCCAAGAGCCTTCACGGCTTCAGGTCAGGTGATCTTCCTGGTCTCCTACTTCTCAGGGATTGTGACGGGCATGCCTGGCTACGCGAGGATGCAAAAATTGTCCTGTTTCATGGAGTTGCACACGTCCCTTTCGATTGGATCCAAAGTTGAACTGACGGTTGACACCTTTACCTTTGCGGGTATTTTGGTGCTCGCCGGCCACAAGGACCAGATCGAGGCAGACGTTGCAGAAGTCCGTCAGATTGAGAAGGAAGGCCTTTTTTGTTTTGAGCCGCCGAGCTTCGGCGGGGCTTGACAGGGCCGCCGAGCTTCGGTGGCGCTTGCGCCACGTGGATGCAGAGTGTTGATTTTGTGATTCATTGCCTAGCCTGTACAGGCTTTGCATCCCGATTTGTTTCACACCCTTCGCTGACGTTCCGCACGGCCTCAGCCTCGATCAAGGGCTAGCTGTTCCGCGGTGTTTATATCTTGTCCAGGTGTCGAAAGTTGAAGGGTGCACAGCCGGCAAAAGTATGAGCTAGAGTCACTAGAGCAGTTCCACATAATTCAACATGTTTTGAACGGCTGGCTGATTTCAAGTCCAGATAGTCCAGCATGTTTGGATTGCAGTTTAAACTTTGATTGCAGCTGTTTAGGGTTTAGGCTTATCAGGAATGCCCGGTGGTTTTAGAATGCTGCTTCAGCTCGTTTTGGTGACGAGGTTAGGCTGGACGGTGGCTGATGTGAGGGCAGATGACACCGTTTGCAGTTTACAGAAATCCTCACCACTTCAAGCGAACTCCTTCAGCTCCTTGAACTTGGACGGAGCAACACTCCCGGAGCGTCCCGGAGCGTTTGGACCGTCTTCTTCATTTGATGGGTTCATCCCATCGGATTTATGGTCTACGCCGGGTCTGACGTTTCGCCATTGTGCAGCCCCACGGCCTGCTAGCGCGCCTCACGGCCTCCTACAGCAAGAGCAATACCCACGCCGAAGGCGTCCAGCGTGGACGGCTTTGTCCCCAAAGCCGAAGTGCGTGGGTCCTCAGGTTCCAATTGGACGCTTCGTTCAAGGGAGCTACACATTTACTTGCTGTGCTGCAGGTGAGCAATGTGGTGGTTGCCGCTTGGAACAGGGTGGCTCTTGCATGCAGTGTGCTGCAGGATATGTGATGCAGACCATACCTATCCTGAATACCTCGAAGTGTTTTGTTTGTGACGATGTTCCGAACTGGCACGACAAGGAGGGTCGAAGCTGTGCAGACCTGGAATCACTTGGCATTTGTTCAGGCACCTGGCCCAATAAGGATCAGGATGTGGCCTTTCATGGCATCAGGCCAAGTGAGGCATGCTGCGCTTGTGGTGGAGGAAGCATCTACCCAACGCCGGTGTACATGCCTTTACAATTCCAGTCCTTGTACGTTGGGCAAAACATCAACCAGACACCACAGCCTGTCACCGCTGGAGTTCAACAAGTTGCTCCAGGATGTGAATTGGCATCCTCTGGACTTGAGCTCTCCAATGATGGTCGTGTTTTGGGAGTGGTCACCCTCCAAAATCAATCAGTGATCAAATGTTCCACGGTATCAGTACAAGATCCTGTCCGGGGCCTCGTCAGCAACATCGACTTTTCCTTGCCCGTTTCGGCCTTCTCCTATGGAGACCAAATTGTCCACTTCAAATTTTGGGGCTTGGACGCAAGCCCCCCCCAACAGATCATAGCCCCCCACACCACGCTTCCGGCAGCCATCTCGGGTGCTCGCCTTCACTGTGACCCGCACTGTCCCTGGCTCTCGGTGACGACGGCGGGTGTGCTCCACTGGAATCCCTCGGTGCCCACCACCAGTGCCCAGCCGGTCCCTGCAGAGCTGAGCTCACAGGCGCGGCTTACCAGGAATGTCCTGTGACGAAAGGGGCGCCGTGGGGCCATGGGCCATGACACCATGACACGTTTGGTCGGATGTCATTTTTGTGGTTCAGAATGTTAGAATCCAAGTGAGCCAAAGGACGTGTCTTTCCAAGAAACTCCTCGTGGTGGTCGTGGATGTATGACAGTCCACTCCCAAGGTGACCACTTTGTCGGGCATGCCCTCTTGCAGCTGCCAAGTGCTGGCACTGTTCCAAGGGACCCCGAGCTCTTCCAGTCTTTTTCTTGCAGCGCAGTCCCGCCTCTGGAAGGGCGCTGTGTGGGAATGGTCTTTCCTTCTGGCCCGCGTGGGTGCGGAGCTGGCACCCGTGAGGCTGTTGGAGGACCTCGGACCCTTGGGCTCGACCACGGGTGACACGCACACACTCACACATACATACTGTAGTTAGTTGATATAATGAAAAAGAATATATATATATATATACATACACACACATATATATATATATGTATTTAACATGTATGTTCATGAGCAGAAATAGAGCCTATATTTAGTATAATGCCGGGTTTTTGAACACAGCAATCCCATCACATGTCCAAGTCTGGCAAACAAACCCCCTTGGCCCTTGAACCCCGCAACTTCAATGTTGGCATGTACTTCTCCACAAGTAAAACCAACATTGCTGTTTTGTTTGAAGGCCTCAACGTGGAGAGATGTCATGCAACTTTGAAGTTGGGGGTCCGGGGGCATGGAGAAGGTAAGAATGGCTCAAGAATAGATGGCTGTTTTTTAGAAGATCCCGGGTATGTACGTACTTTATATACTCCTTTCTCTTTTGTTTTTTGCCCTTGACATTTGCCATTCTTTCAAACCCTCTTTTTATCAGGGTCTTCAAACCCTTTCGCTGAGGATCTGGTTTCCGATGGTACAACCGCTCGGGACATGTGCTTGAAGTACAGGTGGCCGAAAACATCGCCACTGGAGAGAAAATGGTGCTGCCGCAATCTGTCCCTCCGACGATTCTGGATGTGGACTGTGTGGATGATGCTGGAAACACCTTAACCTGGTCCCGCATCAACGGCGACGTGAGGCGACAAAGCCAAGTGGCTTTCAAGCTCGATCCGGCCACCGGCACGGTCCCATGGGCTCGTTTAGGACATCTCTTTTTTTGAACCATCATGATTTTTCAGAATCCACTGAATCGAAAGAAACCAAAGCCTTGTGGATGCGGTGGCAGGTCTCGGGTACTCCTCTACTTGGCTTGTCTTCGACCCAGGGGAGAGCCGAAGTGAATGTCACCTGCCAGGTGGCCTTGGGAGGCTCGTTTCTTTCCACGAGTTCAGTTCAATCTGGGCAGCTTTTCAGTCACACACATGTCCGCCATTGTCCTGTCACGGAAGAAAAGGGAACACATAAAAAAAAAAACAGCTTGAGAATTCTGGGGAAGCGGAATGGCACTTTGCATGGCCCCTTTGAGCCTTCATGGACCGAAGCTGAGCTCCGAAGCTGCCAGGCCCGCTCTACGACATGGAACTGCCGGTGGCTGTCCTGCAGGTGCACATCTTGGATGATGTGTGCCGGGCAGCCCAGGTGCTGAAAACAGAGCCAGTGATTTTTTAAGCCAGGGGACTTCTGAAATTCTATCCCAAGATTTTGATTCTCCTTATGATCACTCCTTATCAACTTTGCTTTCATTCTGAATTTCAGTGGCTGGTGTTTCTGAGGTTGGGTGCCCCGGAACATTTCAGGCAGCTTCCGCTGGCAGAAAGTGACGGCTTCCGGGGAAGGTTTGTGCCTCCAGCAGTGTCGCCTTCGAGAAGATTGCGCTGCAATCATTTTCTCTGCCGGCACCTGTGAGTTGATGGTCAGTGATGGCAACGAGAGCTTTGTACCAGAAGCATTGGCGCTTGTGCGTTTGAACAATTGTTCTGAGCAAGATGCCAGCCTCAATCTGACGGTCCCTGACGCACAGTATCTTCAAGGGGAATTTTCAGTGATGAACGTCTACCATGACACTGCTTCGTATTCTCGTCCGGGATCAAACCCCAAACGACAACTTCTCCTGAGCCGAACCGAGAACGTGCAGCAGATTCCCACCTCTTGCGCAAAGCCGCTTGGTCTCTGCAAGACCTCTTATATAGGTGTTCTTAATCTGAGATGTTTGCTTTTTTGCAGACAAGAGTGTGAGAGAGAGGTGTGCCACCGACTTTCGAAGAAAGGCTTGTTCCGGCGCCCCCGCCCACGGAATTAGGTCAAGCTGGATGCTTCTTCACATCAATTCCTCAGACTTCGAAGATGCCCAGTCCAAGAACGCGCCGGAGTTTTTTGGAGATCCCATGGCTTGCATTGACTCGGATGTCGTGGGAAACACCTTCCAGCAGGGTCAAGTAGCCTTCGATCTGCACTTGCTCCCCGCAGAGCTTCAGGCAAAGCCCACCAAGCTTCGAACAGCAGCGCTTCAACCTGCTACCTTAGCTTTGTCAGCGCCATCCTGTCCAAAGCCCACACTTCCGAACCTAATGCTTGGAAGCGTTCAGGACTCCTCCCTTTACTCTTTGCACCCCTGCGACTGCTTCGGCGCAGCTCATGCGCATGTCGCCCCCGTGGATGCTGCTTCCAACGCCGCGGTGCCTCGCAATGCGCAGGGCCACTTCAACAACGGCTCTGTGCCAGGCTCAGTCGTTGGCAGCTTCTCCTTCGTTTTGCCCGGGCCAAGGAGAAAAAAGCAGAAAACTGAGAGGGGTGGGTCAAAACGTATGGTACCTGCCCAGTCAGTGCAAGACCTTCACAAAGAACTTGGCCTTTTCTGTGGGGTTGTGCCAAGAATGACAGGTTTTTATGGGGCAACATTGAGTTGGGAAAGGATGAGAATCTACTTCAGAAGCGGATGGTGGACCCAGCGACTGAGGTCTCCGATCGACGTTTATTCTCGGGGCCCTACACCTGCGAGGAGACGGTGGCTTGACCTGGCGGGTGGGTTGAAAAGGAAAGCATGAGTAAGAGTCTGAGTGAAGAGAAAGAGAGAGAGAGAGAGAGAGCGAGAGAGAGAGAGAGAGAGAGTGACACATTCATGATACTATATATATATATATATATTTATATATATAATATATATATATTTATATATTTATATATATATATACACTTGAGAACAAAATCTACTTACCTGCTTACCTACCCACCCACCCACCCACCCAGCCAGCCAGCCAGCCAGCCAGCGAGCCAGCCAGCCAGCCAGCCAGCCATCCATCCATCCATCCATCCATCCATCCTTTTGCTAGCACACTTTCATAACTGCGACCTTCAAGATCTTTTGGACATTGCTTCGCTGCATGCTATGCTGGGCACTCCTCCCTTCGACCGTATCCGTCAAACCGACCGGTGAGTCCTCTCCCAGGCCTCAGTGGGGCAGTTCCCGCACTTGGATATGGAGGCATGTCAAAAGGCGTGTGCCTCGGAGTCCTGGCTTTCTCAAAGAAATCTCGGAGTCAGTGACTTTACGTCTGCTCAGTTTACTCTTCCTTGCTTGACATTGCTAAGCATGTACATGTACTTTTGTTTTGTTGTCGCCCTTGTTACATTTTGACCCCCTTAGAACATAACTTTTGATTGCAGCTTCTTTTCGCAACCTTGGGACACTGCTTTTCCTTTCATCCGAGGAACCCAAATGCCAGTTCTACTTGTTTGGAAAGACCTCGCAGACATGCACGTTGTTCCAAAGCTGCAACTACATACAAGATGTTGGCTTGCAGGTTGTGAATGAGCTGTATGGCATACCGCCTCCAAACGCGAATTACTGCCGCATAGCGAATCCGCAGCAATGCTGGCAAGAGATCAGGCGCCGCAGCATGCTGAGCTTTACTCCGTCGGACTTGCCAATGTGCCTCTTCCAAGAGCAAGCTGATGCCTGCGATGCTCTTCAACTCCTTCTTGGAAAGCAGGATGGTCCTTGCACGCGCTGCGAGTACATCGATGCAACCAGCCCGTTTGCAGCTACTGGCCTCCAGAAGACTCCACCCCCCGAGTCCTTCTCTTCAGCATCTCAGATCTCAGTTGCGTGCAATGACACGTCTACAATGTTTTCTAGGCTTCAAGCTGGTCTTCAGTGGGAAGGGCCACGGCAAAATCCTGTGACCTTTACTTGTGTGAGTGGGGAGTGGGTTGGTGAACTTGGCATTTGGCAAGACATGTCCAACTTTACGTGCTGAACTCAGCAGAAAAGTCTCAGCTCTGCATTTATGAAGCTTGAGTTCTGCAAGCGAATGATTTCTCATGACACTTCATACGACAACATGTGCTTGAAAAGCGTACTGGTTTCGATGAATGCATTTTTTTGTCCATTTCTTGCTCCAGATCGGTCCTCTCCTTTCGTGTCTTGTTTCCCAGGTGCGAGCGCTGTTTGCAGGTCGGCAGTGGCACGCTGCAGCGCCTGTCCTTGGTCTCTATGCCGGAGATCTACTTCCTGGAGCATCGGCACTTCGGTGATCCAGGAAGACGGTTCGTTCACAGTAATCGATGGTGATTCGGACGTTGCTTATCGAAAGCAAATCGATATTTTTTTTTATCAGACTCGATCCGCACGGCGCCGGCACGGCTCTGTCGTTTTTGTGACATCTCTTTTCACGAAGGCTAGCGTCAGCGTCAGCTGGAGTTACTCTTGCTTTGTCCGCAAGTTTTCTTGCTGTGAGATGGAAGGTCCTACACGGACGGACATAATTCCGTTCTTAGGCACCACGCTTTGGGTTCAACTCTCGGGATGACCCTGGGACGTGTCAATTTCCCCGACACTCACACCTCTGATAGCATCCATTTTGGGACCATTATGCTTCGCATCAATTCGGCACACACGCACCTCCATAGCATCAGTTTTGAGACCATTATGCTTCACTTCATTCTTATTAGGTATACTCCCTCCTGATCCTTCGTGTTTTTTATTCTGAGCTTCATCTTTCGTCTTCCTCTTCATGCACGAGCCCAGCCTTGCATGTGCCCTTCACATGCATCCGCCTGAAAACGTGACCGCAGAGATGTAAAAAGCCTCACTCTCCTCGCATGTTTCAGCCCATGCAGCCGCTTTCGTCACCAACCGCTGGCCTCAAGTTTGTTGACCCAGCAGTGAAGGAACCCAGTATTGATGGTTTATAGTGGGCAACCTTAGCTTCAGGCTTGCTTTGAATGATTTCCGAGGCAAGTACACTTGAACTACCCCTTCTCAATCCATGGCTGCTCCAGAGCTGGCTTCTTGACCGCTTCTCCGCTGCTGTCCACGGGGATGGGCATGTTCTTGGGCGTGGCGAAGGAGAAGAGAGACCGAAAGAAGATACAGTAAGATAAGAAGAAGCAGGATAAGACACCTCCTTAGCTCAGCTGCGGCCAGGAGTGCGGCAGGCGACCAGGTTGAAAGGCGGATGAATGCAAAATTGAACAGACACCTTTAAGATTTGAGCGCAGCTCAACTCGCATTATTTCATAGATTTCATCGTGCTTAAGGACATGTTGACAAGCACCTCGCAAAAAGGCACCCGGAAAAGGAGCCGCTGTTCACAGGCCCAGGCGCCTGCGCACAGAAAGGCCTTGCGCCTTCAGATTCTTCACGCAGGGTTGGGCTGGGGGGGCCTGGTGCTCGTTTCACACACTCAACAACCCCAAGGACGAGAATCTAAGAAAACTGACTGCCTTGTTGGGACACGGCGGAACAACTTAAGGAAGAACAAACATTTTGCGTTGTGCACGCTATACTTGGGTCTCTGTGCCGTCGCATGTTAGATTATCCATTTGTTCTTCTCCAGTCTTAGGCTTATAGGCTCGACCTGTGGGTCCCCAGCTCACGAACTTAGACCATGAAGCGTCCAGCTGTTGCACCTGCCAAAGAATCCGTGGACCGAACGAATGGAGCATGCAGGCTGTCACTACCATTACAAGAAACATATTCACATGAGCACTCGCAGATGTCACCTGCTTCCCCCATCTTCCCCCTGCTTTTTTTGTTGTTGTTGTGCTGTTGGTTCTTCCACCAGTTAGCTGATCCGTCTTCGTTTCTTTTGGAGGACCAAAGCCTCAAGCTGTTCTCGGCTGCAACAGGTGCAAGCTGGTGGATCGATGCTTATTCAGACCAACTGCGGGTGAAAGATGGATCGCTGGATCCGCGCAAGAACTGGTGCGTGTGCTATGACAAGATGCCACTCTACGCATGTGCTTGCTCTTCGTCCCACATGCTTCTCATGCAGGGAGGGTTGCTTCAAGGTGGGCAACAATGCGCCTCTGCAAATGCCACAGGGGCACTGGACTTCACTGCTTGCCCCCAAAGTCAACTAAGATCAAATGTCGAGTGCCTCGGCTTGGCTAGTATAATTGAACTAGATACAGCAATAAAGGGCACGACACCAACAATAGGTTGGGGCAGATGGTCATAGGAAGCAGCGCACACACTGCACACGCCATGTATCTTGCAGCGTCGAAAGGTGAATTCCAATTTGGAAAGGGCAAGTCATCACATACTTGTAAGTGCAAGTGCTCGTCAGTCCAAGTTCGACTTATATAACCAGACTCCTGCCATAGAGAAATACCAGTGTATGCGGACATGCCTCGAATCCAAGTCCCATGGAAGCATCTCCCAGTCCTGCTTCCCTGACTCCTATTTTGGGAGATCTATGGCGAAGAGTCACTCTTGTTGCGTTGCCCCGCCAGATTTTTTTTGAAGAGGTTTTCGGTCTGAACCAGCTGAGGTTCCTGTGGCATTTTGAGTCCGGAGATTGTTTCGTGGCTTTAATGTCTTACTTTTGCAATCAGGTGAGGGCAGTGGGGTGATCGTGCATATTATAAGTTTACCTGGTGGTTTGGCAATGCAATTGTTCATCCACCCCTCTTTTGTCAATCTTTGTCCCACATGCACACTGACTAAGAATCTGATATCCTTCGGCGATGGCGAATCAATCACTAGAGATGAAGCGTGTTTCCATGTCTTTCCACCTGACTGAGAAGAGCCTCTCAGACTGTCCTTGAAGCTACCCTGAAAACGAACACCACAGGGGTTGCAAAGGACAATCATCTTCCAGAGGCCTGTCGTTATCAGTTGGGGGTCAACTGAGAATTTCTTCGGAAAACTGGAGTTAACTGAGTATTTCTCTCCAGGTTTCTTCGGCTTCGATCTGCAGAACACGGCCGAGAAGCTCTGGACGGCCACCAGCGAGGCGTCGGGAAGCTCTGGGCCGCCACTGCGCTTGGGGAACTTCGCCTTCAAGAGCAGCAGCAGTCAGCAAGGCGAAGATCCCTTGGATCACGAAAAGCAACACCTCGTATTTTGAGGGTTTGGGTCCGCTGAAAGCGAGGACGTTAATTTTCAGCAAGACCAAGGAGGCTTTATTGGTATATATATATATTACAGTACGTTTTTTTTCCACAACATAATTGAAGTTGCCAAGCAGGTGTGTAAAGAAGTGCGCACACGGTTTCGTATGAACACGAGAGGCCTTTTCCAGATCTACCTGGATTACCCTCCCTTCAACGCGCGTCTTTGCCTCCATGCCGACCTCACCAAGAAGAATGGTGGAGGCTACCCGATGGTAATCTCCTCAGACTGTGCGTCAGCTTTCATGTGGAGAGGGGCTCATCTTGCTTATTTTCACCAGGGGGATTTCACCACCACTTACTATTTGGAGATGAATGTCGATGCATTGATTGTCACTCGAACGACGAATCCGGGTGCTCAGTTCAACTTCAAAATCTCGAAGGGTGCGATCTCCCCAAGCACGCAGCCCAATATGTGTCTCCAAGCACAGTGGAACGATGTAGCTACCACTCACAATGGTGCCCGAAGCCAGGTGGCTGGCATCAACATCCCTCCCTATACGCCTTGCAGCAGTTATGGCGAGTTCAGTGGCATCAATGAGGTGAATGGAACCTACGAGCAGGTTTGTCGGGCATCTCCCTTGTTGTTTTACCAGGACACCAAGCCAGCACAGTGTATGACCCTTTCGGCGGCCAATCAGCAGTTTCCGCACTTGAACCTCGCCGAGGGCCTCCCGGGCACTCCAAGTCCAGATGCCCTAATCGTTTTCTGTGCAGATTTTGGCTATGTACTTTCCAATGCCACCTGGCCTGCCGAAATTCCTCCTTACAACCACACCGGCAACGGTGTTCAGCAACAGTGTTCGGCTTTTTGCAGCTACATCGGCTCCAAATATACCAGCGTCAGCCAGGCTCATCACTTTCCCAACAATGCAGAGCCAGCGACTCTGGACCCCACCACCCACTTGATGAATTTCAGCTGTCCTGAAACAAAGTTGCTCAGAGGCGTTGTATATAATGCAACTTGGTGAACATGAGGAGCATGTTTTTGGTTCTTTGCCTTGTAAGGGAGTTTTGGGCATATAAACAACTATATGAAACAACTTGCATATATATATATATAATACACATGTTTTACAGGATATTTGTGTTGGTGTATGCATAGCCCAGCCTATTTTTCCCCAGATAGCGAAGCTATGGGGTTCTTACTTCAAGTAACAATGAGTTGCCCGTGCGCGCTTTCGAGACAGGTTGCTGGTGCTGGTGCCGGGTGCCGGTGCTGGTGCTGTGAGCTGGCTGTGCACGCTGGTGCTGTGAGCTGGCTGCGCACGTGGTGGAGACAGGTTGCTGGTGCCGGTGCTGGTGCTGGGTGCCGGGCGCCGGTGCTGGTGCTGGTGGTGCCGGTGCCGGTGCTGGTGCTGGTGGTGCCGGTGCCGGTGCTGGTGCTGGTGCTGTGAGCTGGCTGTGCACGTGGTGGAGACAGGTTGCTGGTGCTGGTGCTGGGTGCCGGGTGCCGGTGCTGGTGCTGGTGCTGTGAGCTGGCTGTGCGCGCGTAGTGGAGACAGGTTGATGGTGCTGGTGCCGGGTGCCGGCGCTGGTGCTGGGGCCGGTGCTGGTGCTGTGAGCTGGCTGTGCACGCTGGAGCTGGCTGTGCACGTGGTGGAGACAGGGGGGTGCTGGGTGCCGGTGCTGGTGCTGGTGCTGTGAGGTGCCGGGTGCTGGCGCTGGCTGTGCACGTAGTGGAGACACGCCACGCTGTATTGCGCGTAAAAATTGGAGCTGCTGCCAATGCAGGGTGCAGCCCAGAAAAATCTTTAGCATGCTTTTGCTATCTGGGGTCTACGCTGGAACAATTTTTTCCAGCTTTGATCAAGCTGAGATGTTCGCAGCAATTTGCGAGGGGCCTTGGCTGACCGAGATCAAAGAAGATCCCAGCAGTGAAACTCCCGTATTCTTCAACGACAGGGCCGTGCAAGCTGTTCCAATTTGTGCTGCTGAGTTTAAGAGAATGGTCATCTGTAGAGAAGGAAGGCTTTCAAAAGGTCTTTGTTTCACCAATGCCACTTCTTGAGAACTTTTGGACCACTCAAAACCTCCTGCCCTGTAGAGGACTGCAACGCGACTCTATGGACTCAAAGCTGGAGCATCCAGACCATTCATCAGCAAAATGCCTCATCGACTTGGATGGAGTTACAGAGCTGTGAAGCTTCCCTCTCAGTGGCCATGTCTTCCAACCCCAATCCCAATGCCGATGCCCGACCGCTGAATCTGAGCGTTCTAAACGCGTCAATGCTGTCTCCGAAAGAACTCATGGCCTACACCAGGGCTCCTGGAATCCATATTGCCACTAAGCAGTCGGACAACATCCTTTTCACATGCCTGCCAGGCCCAGGTTTTGGAGTTAGAGGATTTAAGCAGATGCTGCAGCAGGTGCTTCAGCTGGGCCATAAAGAGGCAACTTCTTCTTGAAGCCTCCTTAGGCTCTGATTTGGGGTTCAGACAGTTTCATTATTGGTCTGCCTCAGGCCATGCAGAAGGGCCTTTGCTGGATGGAAATCTCACCACCTTGTGTGCCAGCAATGCTGCGGTGAAGGTGAGTGATTTGTATCAAGCAACTAGCTTGCTCCTTCCCTGCGCTTGGACCTGAATGATTCGACACGAAGTCACAAAGTGTCTTAGGGCAAGTTACCTCAAGTTACCGCGAGTTCAGATGCCATGTCCAAGCCAAGGTTCATGGATGAAGTGCAGACACTCTTGATGCAGAAGAATTGCCCCGTATTGCTGCTTGGCTGTTTTGGTTCTTGATGTAGAGTAGCGGCTTACTGCTCTGCCTCTCACCACAAGGATGGAAGCTGGTACCACGGTAGATCCCAACGTTGCCGTCAACACCGCTGGCGGTGGCATGACGATGCAGCAGTTGAGCCATTTGCTGCGCTTGGCCTATCACACGACGCCCTTCGGAGATCCCCACCCTGCGCCGTTCAACTACACGGGCCCGACGGCAGCCTTTGCGGAGGCGCAGTGCAGTTTTTGTCCTGCCCAAACTTGCTGTGTCATTTGGAGTCGGTTTGGTGCTTGTGGCAAAAGGCTGGTCCCTAACATGCCAGCTGCATACAATTCCAGAAATATTCTTCGAAACTTTGATTTCTTTTCCCAAAGAGTGGTCCCACTAGGGGTTCTTACGGTAATAGTTATATAAGGCCAGGTGTTTGATCGAGGTGCTCATCGGCGTGTTTGGCTGATTCGCCGTTATCATTTACGGTGAATTCATGCCTCTCGACCTCTGAAAAGGTGCATTTTGACTGCGCACCGCACGCAGATTTGGCTGGGGCGCAGCATGTGCTTTCGTCCACTCCATTCGTTGTGGTGCCACGCAGCCGACTTTTCGTGGGAGCGGCCAACTGCTGACAGATGGGAACCTCAAAGTGCCAACTTCGTGGCAGGCGCCAGCGGAGATTGCGTGGCGCGCGGAGCATTTCGTGAACCTTGAAGTGCAGCTTGCGTGGCACGTGCAGCGTTTGGTGCTCTCACATGTGCTCGCTGCTCTCGTGCTTAGAGATCTTGCGAGATCTTGCGAGAGTGACCTTGCACATAGTGACTTGCTACATCTATTTTCTGCATGTGCTGTTCTGAGACCTATCTCGTTCTCGAACTCTAGACCTCTAGATCCGAAGCTCCGGCCTCTGGGCCTCTTAGCCCTCGATAGATCTTCAAGACACCGAAGACTGTAGACCTTTGGGCTTTTAGACCTTTTTGGTCTCCCGATCTCTCTGGATCTAAATCTTGGCCTCTAGATCTCCACCCTTTGGATCTCAAGGACCTCTCTGGACCTCAGAGCGTCTCAAGTCCTCTGGATCCATAGATCTCTCGGGAACCCGCTATGTCCAGATCTCGAGACCACCTGATTCTGCACCTCTAGACCTCACACCTCCAGACCTTTGTGAACCTCGAAGTGCAGATTATGTGGCAATCGCAGCATTTTGTGAACCTCGAAGTGCAGATTGTGTGGCAAGGGCAGTCTTTCGTCAACCTTGAAGTGGAGATTGTGTGGCAAGGGCAGTCTTTTGTCAACCTTGAGATTACGTGGCATGCGCAGCATTTTGTGAACCTTGAAGTGCCGATTGCGGGGCAGGCACGCTCTCATCTGTTGTTTAAATACGTACTCATCTCGATCGTGCGAGAGCGACCTTGTACACAGCGGTACACCAGACCCATCTCTAGACCTCTAGAGCCGTTTTAGAGCTCTGGACCCCTGGATCTGTAGACTGTAGACCCCTAGATCTCTAGATCGGTCTGGCTACCCCTCTAGATCTCTAAGAGCCTAGATCCTTGAGTGTCTAGGCCTCTTAGATCTCTTTGGCCTAGAAGAACCTGTAGATCTCTCTGGGCATCAACACCTCTGGATCTCTAGACCTCTATGTTTCTACTCAAGCCTCTAGACCTAGAGACCTTTGCATCTCTAGGCCTCTAGAACTCTGGATCTCAACACCTCTCTGGATCTCAAAAGCTCTAGACCTCCAGATCTCTTGATCTTTCTGGATCTCGCCCTCAAATCTCTCGATCTCTAGGCCTTTAGATCGTTTAGATCTCTAGACCTGCTCTGGATCTCAAAGACCTCTGGATCTCTAGAGCTCTGGATGTCCAGGCCCCTTTTTAGAGCCCAATGCATCCAAATCTCTAGACTTTGTCCTTATTCTCTTGGGTGTCCGAATGTTTCAACAGAGACGGCACCTTATAGAGGCTACGGGGCTTCCACCGCAGGAAAATGGTTTAACTGCCAATAGATTTGTAGAGTATGCCTCATGAGGTCATCATTCCATCATTCATCCTTTCCTATCTTCCAAATCACGCGTCAACCAACGAAGGAAGGAGAAGCACTTAGGGCAACATGTCAATGCGCCCAAATGTCTCGCACTTTCATTCTGGAGCTTGACACGGACGAAAAAGCACTCAAACGCGTCCCGTCCGGGGTTTCCACTTGGACCCGCGAACGGCCGTGGTGGGTCGCAGGTGGTGGGTTTCCTCAGTTTGCAACCGGGTGGTGCGCCCTGGGGCCTGCGGTGTCCTCCGGGTGCAGTGGTGGCATCTGATAGCTCCACCATGCCTTACTGCCGTCAGCTGGACGCTGCGGCCGACGCTCGGAGCAAATAGGCAGGAAAACCGAAGGTCTCTTTCTTTTCTCCCGGAACTGGGGGAGATCTAAACCTGCAAATGAGAAACCCTCAAAAGCAGGGCGAAGTATCTTCAGTGGGGTTTGGTGGATGTTTCTGGTGCTTGCGCCCATTTTTCGGACTCTGGTCCCCTCGCCGAGGAGAAGACCTTCTATTCCTTCTCCGGGTCGATTGCGTGCCCCGACGGTAGCGCCGTGAGCGGCTGGTACAACCTGCCGAATGTGCCGGTGGAGGGAGGTCCCTACGGTGGCCCCAGCAATGCCACGGCCCTGAGGCTCTTTTGCCGCTCCACGCCACTGTTGTCGTCCTGTCAGCAACCCATGGCCTCCTATTGCCAGAGCGGAGGAATCGTGAATTCGGTGAGCTTTGATTCCAACCAGTTCAAGCTCGGCTGCTGCCAGTTGCAGAGGCCATTGCCGTTGTTTTGGACATATGCTTGCACATACAAACCAAACCCTATATATAAGTGTGTATATATATATAGAGATATATATTGTATATGTGTGTATATGGAATTTAAGTTTGTACATATTAACCTTTTCATGGGCCATCCTCACCTGCTGGGTTCTTCCCAACAACCAGGCGCCTGGGCATGGCCCTGACCTCCCAGCCGCGCCACAGTCGCATCTACCAGGAAGGTTTGGAAGGCAAAAGATTGGACCACTCCACATTAAAAAACGTTCTGTTCCAACGTCTTTCGGAACTTGGACCACCCAAAATTCGAGCCAGTGTTTCTTTGTTTCAATCCTCCGTGCAATCTTCATGGATTTTAAATCATCGGCAAACACATCAGGACTTCGAGGGTTACTACTGTCCCAGCCAGATGGACATCACTGGTGCACCCAGCTATGTGAAGACTTTGATGCCAAGCTTGGGGTCACCATCGTCTTCAAGGCGCAGATGCATCCGTTTCTTTGTTGAACCAGCTCAAGCAGAGCCCGTGCTCAAAACGAGCCACAAAAAACAAGTGTCAAGACTAGCGAGACTGGTGACCTCCTTGTAACGCGGCGGGCGCGTGGATTGCGCCACACCTTTTTGAAGATGACATGGGTGATCCTACCAAACTTCTTGCATTTGGTACACTGCCCACCTCCCATGGACTAAAAGTGTTGGGTCGGGGCTCTGAAGTGTGGAAGGATAAGCGGGCAGTTGTGAAGGCGAGAAAGCACATAAGGGACATTCATGGCACAGTCTTCTTACCTCTACTGCACAAAGAACCCGCACAATCAGTCCACACCGCCAGCACACGCAACGCTCTAGGCTTCAGAGCGTTGCCGTGTCCATGGAGTCCATGGTGTCCATGGGTGGTGTTGGCGTGCACTACCAATTGAGCTTTGTGGGCTTGCTAATGCTGATGTCAGAGTAGGATCAGTGTCTTCAAGAGTCATCCAAGAAGAGAACAGAGGTCAACCGATTTAGAACCTTCGACCTATCGCCAACCCACTGCACTATTATACTCTTGTCAGCTTCACCCGGGGTCTGTTCAAATTTCTGCCTCCCTCACCTGCAATCCAATCAGCCTCTTGGTTCAGCTGGTGTTGCCAAAGTTCCAGCTGACTACCATGGATTGCCTGCAGTTCCGGCCAAGTTTTGTGAGACTTGATCCACCACAAATGCATCTGAGAGCCTGTTCCGGCTTGTTGAAAAGGGATCCCAACGTCATTGATGTTCGGAAAAGCCTCAGGCAAGCACTGCAAGTCTTTCCGGAGTGCCAGACGGATCAGACGGGTTGCGGACCGACCCGCGGGGACCGGCATGGTGCCGTGGAAGCTACCCGGCCTCGCCTCTTTGCACAGCTACCCCGGCCTTACGGAGAACTCCCGTAAGAAGCAGTGGCCAGCGAACGGTGCCCATCCGAGTCGGAGCCGAGTCAAAGCGACGACCGATTTGCGGGAGCAAAGCACCGCATCCGGAAAGCAGTAGCCAAAAACCCAAAGCGCGACAAACCCATCTCGGGAAAACCCAAAGTCAGGTAAACACCTTTACCGAGATTCCCCCAACTCCTGCTGTCCCGCATCAAGGAGTTGTTTCGTAACCGAGTGGGTCCGGAACCAAGCGCCAGAGCCGGAAACAGTTGGGTTGCCGCATGGCCTTTTTCTTTTTGTGTGTGTGAGGTCGCTGAAACGTCACATGAACATTTCAGAAAGGGCTCTTTGATGCTCTTTTGAGAGATTTCGGACGGAGAGTTTTCTGGGTGTTTTTGCTTCCACTTTCACGGATTCCGTGCACTGCTCATGTTTCTGGCAGCACTTCGTCCTGGACCTTGAGCTGGAACCGCTTCGCTGAAACCTGGGAGCTCGCCTCTTCTTCTGGGAAGGTTTTTGCATTGCCTGGGAGTGCTGAGCCTGGGCACCAGCAATTCCAGGGGAGTGGCTGGAATCGCTTCCAACAGTTTCACAGACCATGGTGTCTCCAAAGACCTGGGAAGAATGGGGTGCAGTTATTTTTCGATCGTGTTCTGCCGTGGACCCTCTTACTTTTGATCTTGAGATGGGGCGGATGGACGACTAGACACTGGGCCTCCACACGTCCCGTCCCAAACCACGCGGCCATCAGTTTGGGCCATTGATCCCTAGTGCTTCGATGTCTCATGACCTTCAGCACTTGGGTCACCCCGTCCGTCCGGGGTGGGGTGGGCGTTTACGCGCCCAGGAGACCCCCGTGGCGGTGAACGCTTCGGGTTCCGCTTTCTCGGCGAGCTTCATTGAGCCCTTGACTGCGGCGTATGTGATGCTTGGCGAACATCCAAGCAAGGGAGTGGCTAGAGTCGAACGCATGGGCGACTGACTACTCTATATTTTTTTACTTTTTTTTTTTTTTTTAAATATCTTATATATAAATATAGCATGTATATCATATCTCCTTCTTGTTCTTCTTCTTCTTCTTCTTCGGATTGGAAGGGCACCATCGGCGGCGCAAATGGTTTGCCATGAGTTTCCGCAAACCCGAAGAGAGAAGACTGGGATGAAAGACGAAAAGCGGAACACACCTTAGCTGCAAGTGCCCCAGGGCATTGTTTCTTGCTCCTAGTAGAAATGCCAGGAGCTACTACTAGCTTCTTGCTCCGTTCGTAGCGATGCCCTTTGTTCCTATGTGTCCCATCAGCCCCATCATGTTGCTTAGTAGGCGTAGCTTCTGTGACACTGGTGCCGGACCGACCAATGCCCGAGGATGGGCTCCACGCCGCAGACGCTGTTTCCAAGCCAGAAGCCCACCGCACCGGTGCTGATGAGTTTCCAAGCATCGCCGCCCAACTACAAGGTCTATTGTGATCCAGCTTTTCGGCAGAATCCCTATGCCTTCGCAGGTGCTGCGTCTATCCCACTTGGGAATCCATGCTATCACACCTACAACACCATGCCGGCCCAGCTGCAACCGGCGCCGAAGCAACCGCTGCTCAAGGGAATCACTGAGGAGGTTGGGGGGTCAGTGATGGAAGACTGGAGATCACAGAGGGAAGACAGGAGAGGCGTAGGGATAGACAGAAATCAAAGCCTCGAAGGAATGGCATACCCACCTTGAACCCAACTGACCCCTGTTTTGATAGGAAAAGGCTCAACGTACCCGCATAAATTCGACTCGGCGCACATTACAGGCTAGACTTTTCTCCGGCATAATCTGTACCAGCAAGTCCGGCAAGTGCATGCGCAATAAAACAGGTTTGAACTCGATAACGCTTGACTCTTCAATTAGGTGCCTACGCTTTTCGATATGCATATCGTTCGCATAATTCACACGGATGCCATGTGGTTGCGTGCATGTTTTGGTACATCCTGTTCTTTGTACATTTTCTCCTCGTGTACCCCCCGTAGGGGAAGGGCAGTGAGGTGCGACACGGATTGGTGCGCAAGGTGTGTGTGTGTGTGTGATAGGAAAAGGCCATATTTTGGGTGGCATGCGTACCCCGATTTGGTGACCTTTCGCCAAGGCTTGGTTTTGGTCGTGCCTTCGAACAATAAGGCCTTTTGGCAATGCAGCGAACGGAGCAAGCGCCGCAAGTACTTGAACCAGATGAATGTGGCAGACAAAGAGAAGCTGGCCAACATGATAGCAGCAAAACAAGCCACGTGCCGTGGCAAAAAAGGGTTTTCCTGAAAAGTGACGGGTTGACCGAGACGGTGACAAATTGACTCCGGATCCCAACGACGGGGTGACCCCACCGCAGCTCCACCTTTGTGGGCGGTGTGAGTGAACTCACTCGCTCCAAGTGATGTCGGAGCTTGCCTTTATTACTGTAATCCATATAAATACACGTGTATATAATTGTAGATATATATATATATATATACATACATACATACACACACACACATATATATATATATTATATAAACCTCTCCGCAGAGAGGTTTTCAGAGATAACACGTTCGCTGCAACATTTCTAGTGTGGGTCACTGCAGCGTAACTTGTTTTTTTTCCAAAGAGAGTTTAAATCCAACTATCCCAAGTGAGCCCTCGACATCCCAGCCTGCAGCGCTGTGGAGGTTCTCAAGTTATGGTCAGAGCAGGAAAGGGAACAAAATCCACGTCCAACTGTTCACGGTTTTGGCCCCACAACCCCAAAACCACCGACGAGCCTCGTTTCCCGGAACGCGCCAACTCCTTCGGTTGGAGTCTTCGAACACACCGCCTTTCTGCAGGATACAGCAGATCACCCTCGGTGTGGAACTGGCGGCGGGTTTGGTCGGGATGATCCCCTGGGGAAGCTTTGCCATGCCGGGAGCCAAAGGGGCTGAAGAAGCAGAACAGCAGGTGGCGCAGGAGTCGGTGGCTGCCGCCCGGCACCAGGGCCAGGTCGTTGGGAGTTGGTCATCGAACGACTTTGGAGGTCGAAACAGGCTAGGTTGGAGGGATGAGGGGATCGTTGTGTTTGCAGGCTTTGTGAGTTCTGTTGAGAGCGAAGTCCACACTCCCGGCCGGCAGGGTTGCGCGGTTCGCCACAATGAGAAGGAACAGTTGGCCGGCCGAACGATTCGCCAGTTCCGCATGACCCGTGTCACCCCAAGGTCGTCAAGCGTGAGGTGGACCAGCAACTCCTCACGGAGGCCGAAGTTGAAAAGCTGACGCGCAGAGGGACCTTGGAATCCAGCTTCATGGATGCTTGCTCTGAGAAGACGTGCATACGGCTGTTCTTTTTGATTTGGGGTGTGCTTTTGGGCTTGTCTTGTGAAGTTCCTGTTCTTGACATCCCCTGAAGCCCAAAGAGTAGAGGAAAAAGTCGTCCCCTGAAAAGTGTTTTCTTCTTTAAACGTCATCTGTATTTAGCCCTTCCTCTTTCTTTGCGTGTAGTTGGCCAGGAGGATCTGAAACGTGCTGTGAGCAACGCAGGGCAAGCCGTTGCCAGTGCCGCATACAGTGTCGGAGCCGGCATTGCTGGAGGCCTTTACAACTTTGGCTCCAGCACCTTGCAGAATATCGGAGACTTGGCTAGAAAAGCAACCTTTCCAACCGTTCGCATTTGCCACGTAGCGTTCGTCTTCGACGAACGCCGGTTCATGCAAGACTTGGAGTCGTTTTTGGTGCCTTCAGGAAACAACCCCGTCGGGAGCTTCCAGGACTTCATGGATCATGGCGTCTATGCCCAGCAGGGCATCACTGGCATCATCAGCTCCAATCAACACGTGAAACCACCCACACCTCCAAGTCCACAAGCCTTGATCAACATGTCCAAGGAGCTGGTGCAACAGAAGCTCAGCTCGCTGAACAACGTCCAGTGTGTCGAAAAGGTGAAACCAGGAATTCGCCGCCTTTCGCCCCTTTTGTGGCGAGCCTTGTTTTTGGTTTCTTCGGTTTTTGCATGTCATACTGTGTCTGACTCTCTTCTTCTGGTCAAGGACCGTTCCAACTCTCACGGGCCAGTATGTGCCTGATGCCACTCTCTTGGCCGATGCCGCCCAGAAAGATTGCCTTCCTCTGCAGTACGGCCTGTCGAAGGTCATGTGTGACCTCTTCTGCATTGACGATGCCGTACGGACAGGAACCTCTTCTGTCTTGACCAGCTTGCAGAACTCCCACATGGCGCTCATGACCAACATCCGCGCCCTCTTGGACTACCAGACGCGATACTTGTTGTGGGCCATGGGCTCGCCGCATGTGGCGACGCCGACCCACGCGCGAGCGGCAAGCGCGGCTTCGGAGATCTTGTCGTTGCCAGCATTGTTGCAGGAGCTCACCAGCTTTCCACAGACAGAAGAGAATCCCACTTCGACTCTGGTTTTAGACCGAGAGGTCTTGGATTGGCACAAAGAGACGGCAGATGATCTCATTCTGCGGCTTAAGGAAACCTCTCTGACCAATACAACCAATGATTCGGTGGCATATTGGCCTCATCGTGTCAGAGCCATGAAGGGAATGCTGCATCATTACCATCAAAGCCTGAGTGACCGATTGAAGCCCAGCAACGCTTGGAAGACCTCGAATTCCGCCCAGAACCAGATCAAGGACAAACTACGTCGCTTGAGCACCTGGGTCTGAAACCGTTCAAGCCGGTTGTGTAGCAGAGGTTTCCCTTTCTTTCGCGTGTTTTGGTCCGAACCCCCGTACCATTAGAACCATGGGCATGGTGATGTCTTGCCTTCCTCTCTTGCAGGCTGTCCGTACCACCCCACAGAAGAACAGCCAACATGCGTGGGTGATGGCCCCAACGACCCCCTGAGCCCAGGGTACCCCGGAGGTCTCAGTGGGTTGACCCCACCCTTGACACCTCTTCAACCCTTGGCGCCCCAGGCGCCCCCACGTTGCGCACGCCTCCGAGCGCTTCAACCGTACGCCCTCCAACATCCCGGCCGTCACCCTGCCGTCACCGTGCCGTCGTTCTCCGCATCCTGAGGCGACCAAGCGTCCGAGCACCGTGAGGTGGCGCAGGCGGTGAAGGTGCTGCGGATGCCTCCGCTGTCGGCGCCTGCTAGGTCGTTGGACGTGGAGGCACAAGTCGTTTGGACCTCGCTCTTGGAGTCCTTCCTCCACACCCATGAGAAGCATGATACCTTCACCATGCTCCACTTGAAGGCGCAAAAAAAAGAAACTTTTACAGTGGTTTTATATAGATGGTTTTAGAATAGATGCCACAAACCCAAAACCACCTTTGGGGGATTGCGCCATCTACTCTGAAACCAGTTGACGAGTTTTGGGATATTTTGCTCACAAAGTGATCACACCCGAGTGACTGGCAGAGAGCCGAGAGCTGTTTCGCCTCATTTACCCAGGCCTTGGACCAAACGGATGATGCAGTTCTTTTGGCACAGAATTTCTCGGAATGCGCAGGACCCTGGGGGGGTTCAGATGACTCACTGATTGAATGGAAGGTTCCATGCCGGAAGGCGGAGACAACACTTTACCCCACTGAGTTTTTGAACCCTTCCAATTCTCACATCCTGCAACTCGACCCTTCCTTCGTGAATTTCTACAAGTGCTTGGACCCAACCCCAAACTTGACGTCGAGCAGGGGACCTAGGTCGTTGGTCTAAGGAAGCCAGGAGCCGACAGCGAATCGAAGCAGTTTGGGCCCAGGAGCCGACACTGCCTCGATGCGGGAATCCTGGGAACGGGCCCTTCATGCGGATGAGAGGTGCAGTGAAGCTTTGTTGGAAGCCTGGTCCGCCACCATCACCACTGCAGAACGCTTGGAAGTCGCCATCAAGGATGGGTTTGGTTCTTTTTGTCCTTTTGCATTGTTCTTGTGTTTCTTGTCCTGCTTTGGGCGCCAGTGCGTAGCGAAACTACGAGTTTTCGGTCGCTCGTGAGGGTCGTCCAAGCTGTCCAATTCAATCTTTTCTTCTCCTTAGAACATGTTACACATTTCAAACGAGCACGTGGTATGTGGCTTTTGTGTGCTCTCGTTCCAGAGGACCAAGGCTTCTTGGACCGCATGGTGAGCCTCCTCCATCTACAGCCAAGCCTCCTCATGTCACCAAGCCTTTGCCAGAACCGCACGGCCCAAGCTGCCTGGGCTCAAGAGGCCTATGCTGGGGCGGTGAAGTTGGTGGTCTCGTCCTTCAACCCTTTGGCCTTGCAGATGAGCATCTTCAAGGCGAGGGTCGGCAGGAGCGGAAGAGCGCCTTTTCGTGCGATCTTCGCCTGTCGTCTTTGTCTCGTGGCATCGCATCGGCATCCGGCCCGACCTGGCGCAGAGCGAGAAGTGCGTTCGCAAGACGTGATGTGAAACCCCGAAAATCATCGTTCAACCATCGTGAAGCCTGCGCCGTACATGTTTTCCGGATGATGCGCCGAAGAGAGAATTCAACTCACTGCCCGGTACCGAAACCGGTGTTTCCATGGATTTGGGGGTCTTTTTCTGGCCGCATAGAGGGCCAAGATCCGAACGCCCCGTGACGGCCTCCGACAGCACCGGACGAGCTGTGGCCTGCGGCGGAGCGCACGCGGAGGGTCGTTGGGTCCAAGTGGAAGAGTTGAGGAGGTACGTCTTGGAGCTTCAATGGCCGTTGTGTACCGCGGGTCCAAGCATTACCAAGCACCGCCACACGGGGAAGTCTAAAGAATCCCACCTGCGAATCCAAGCGTGGCCTCCGGCGGTGGTTGGATATATCCCCCCCAAGACTCTTGGCTCAAATCCCAACTGGTCATTCTGGGCCTGGCCCTGGGCTTTGGCATTTTCCCCGTTCTTAATAAGGGGTCAAAAAGCTCCGACGGCTCTGACTCCCTGGCAGGTCTTAGCCACTTTTCAGGACACCGGTGGACAGTTTGGGCGGACTTGGGATGATGGGAGCATCGGAATCAAAGCAAATTTAACCGGGGTTGATAGCGTCGCGAGATGTATGTCTATTTGTCTATCTATTTGATCTAATCTGGTCTTACCGTATCTACTCTAATCTGGTCTAGTCTAATCTAATCCTGATCTGATCTAATCCTAGTTTATCCTAATCTAATCTAATCTAATCTAATCTTATCTTATCTATATAGCCTCATCTGATCTTGTCTTGTCTTGTCTAATCTAATTATCTATCTATCTATCCATCTACCTACCTATCTATCTATATGACCTGACATACAGATGTGCCCATACTTCACTTGGTGCTTCACTAGATTAGTTCAGTCACTGATCTGTGAAGAATGGATTCTCATTGCTCTGGTTTGGGAGTGTCTCGGAAGACTCCCTGACTGCCATTAGACGTCGTGAATTTGCCGTCGGTTGCTGCAGCAGCTTTTGATTGATGGCTTCCTCTACGCGCCATGGTGCACACTTCGGCGCAAAGATTCCGCAGTTGAAGCGAGGATGTTAACTCCTGAAGCCCAACGTTTCCGAGTCGTCAAACTGCCAAAACATATATCTCATAGGGCATGCATTTGGTGTCTGTATAAATGCGTTTTACACCGAGACACCGTTACACCGAGACACCGATTGAAGCCGCGATATCATAATCTATCTATTTATCTATCCATCGATCCGTTTGTCTGTCTGCCTGCCTGCCTGCCTGTCTGACATGCCCACCCAACGTGGTACAAGATTTCAACCACAGTCAGGAACTTTTGGGAAGTCACTTTCCTTCATTTTGGAGGGATATTCCATATGGGTGCTGAGGGTTTTTGGACCCTTCCGCCCCTCCTTTTGGATGCGGTGCCCCTTCTGCCGTTGTGCTGCGCAGGAGCAGCAGCTGAAGCAGCGACGCTTGGAGTACCTGGAGGCGCCGGGCGGAAGCGCCACATCCTCGTTGCGGACGCTCCTCGAGGCGGTCGCTGATCCCAATAGTTCCCAAGGCGCGGCGGGAGCTGAGGAGGAGACCGTTTTGGTCGGTGGGCGCGTTGTAGCTCGCTTAATGAGTCGTTGACGCGCGTTGTAGCAAAAAAAGAAGAATTGGCGCGTGTTCTGGTTTAGAACGCGTCGTTTTTTTCCTCTCTCTCCATCCACTCAAGTGGAGAAAAGGCGCAGATGGTTTCGACAGATTCTCCAATTGCTGTCAGTTGAGCTGCATTTTTGGCCAATGGATTGGTGTGTCAGATGCTTTTCATCCAGGTCAAGCTCTTGCACTGCGAGCGTTGGAGGGCTTCAAAGACACTTGCGGTGAAGACTTCTTTCTGCAGGGCCTGAATCTTCGATCGGAGCCTGTAAAGTCATTTTTGTTGCTCTGATGTGGACAAGGTCCAATGGGCCCATGAAAACTGGGCGCTGTGTTTTGCACCTTTTGATTGCAGCTTCTGGAGCCCACCTCAGTTCCAAGGCCGCATTGCTTCGCTCTCCCATTTTTTGGAAGCAACAGCCTTCTTACACGAAAGACCGCACAGGTCGCAACATCTGCTTTGGCCGATGGCTTGCTGCGGTTGTTGCAGAAGAAGGCAATTTCAAAGGGACCACCTGATCACAACCGCCCCCAACGATAGTACGTATGTTTGGCTGAATGGTCATGGCGATTCTTCCTGCTTTGGCTTTCTGCTTTGGAGGGTTCCTTTCATTCATCCAGTCATTGGGCCAAAGGTGCAATCGTGAGTCATCGTTAAACTATGCTTTCCAAATTCTTTGGAAGTGGATGCTCCTAAAAATTGAAGGGACCATTGATTTGAAGCATCACGTGACCAATTCATGACTGTCCGTCACACTTCATGACCTCCGAGCTAGTCAGCTAGTGGCTGGTTGAACCACAGAACCATCAAGTTGAGGTTGAGAATCGGAGGCTCGTAGGCTTTGGGTGATACATCTATATAGGAGATTGTAGGAGACACTTCCTCACAACGACGCCGCACCGTGTCGCTGACCGCTTTTTGGTCCAGCTGCAGTCCCCGGATCGACCAGCAATGGGGTACTGAGCTCATGCGCAAGGCTTCATTCTAGGAGCTTTTCAATGTCAATGGATCTTCCATGCATTTTTGCTTCGTTGTGCCTCCCATCCTTTGCGAGGTCAATTTTGTCGCTTTTCCTCGGAAGGCAGCTGCCAGCTCCAGAGCCCGAGGTAGCGGCGTTCTTCGATGTGTTCGTGTCCAGCTACTATGGTGCCAGCTGGGGGAAGGTCAGTGGATATTTGGCAGGCTGCCACTACGGAGCAAGCCGCAACACAGCCCGCTGAAAATGCCTTCCTGGCATGGATAGTGATTCGAGCTGTGTGCATTCATTGACTTCTGGCTTGCAGCTAGCACATACTTGAATGTTGGAACGAGGTTGAGGCATCTGCCTCTGCCTTGCGGGAGAACATTAAGACGAAAGGCGCGCAGCCAATGGCAAGTTCCATTTGGCAGAGGTCACACAGCTTCTTACACATAACTTGCATGTGTCATATCATGCTCCCGCCCAGGTGAAAATGCGTACTACTATGCGCACAATCGGCAATTCGAAGCACCACCCTCAGTTTTCTTATGCGCACTCTTTTGGTTTGACTTCGGACGTGCGTGAACTGCAGGTCCCAGCAGATGCCAAGGTGATTTCTGGCCAGATTCTAAGTCTATTGAAACCTGACCGAAAAAGTGATGCCTTTCGAGACTTGACATCCCTTTCTTTTTTCTCTTCTGCCCCCTTCTGGATGCCTCACTCTGTTCTCCAAGGTCCCGGGCTGGTGACGGGCACCTCGGCGGAAGGCCCAGGTCGGCCTCGTCACCAATGGCGATAGCCTCACCTTGCCACCAGGGGTGCACCGTGGAGTCCTAGATCTGCCCACCCGAGCGATGGAAGCACGAGGGTGTTCCGGGGTTGAATCACCGATGTCGACTTTCTTGCCTCATGCCCACAACAACTCGTCGTGGCTCCAATGTGGAGGCCAAGGCCTTTTTTAGGAGGCAGCCTGCTCAAGAGCAGACCCTTGGAGTTGGACAGGACCGCTACAAAAAGAGGGTCGTGGGCAAGGGGTTTGATCGTTATTTTTTTTTGGGTCAGGCCCTGTGGTGAAAACACGCGCCGCGTTCGTCGTTTTTTTTGGACCTCCTGAGGCGGTCCACCGGTGAAGTTGGACATCGAGGCGTGCCGTGCGTGTGCCGACACTCGACTGGGGGGGGTCGGGGCCGGCCGCAGTCCAATGCTGACACGTTGGAAGGAGATGGTCTTTGGTAGGTTTGGTAGCCGACGAACTTGTGGATCCATTCTCCATCTCGATTGGAACTCGATTCATCCAGGTAGCTTCACCATGCTGAATCCAGTGTTCTGTATCCATCCCATCGCTGAAGTTCGGGAAGTCAGGTAAATGTGAATTTAATCTTGCCACGTGCCCGTCCTCTCCGTCCGTAAGTCCCAGATCGGATCCCGCCTGAATGTGCTCCAACAAGAAGCTGAACAGTTTCAACTTCCACGTTTCTCCGGGCCCCTGGCATTCTTCGGACAAGACAAGCTCATCCCTGCTCACCCCAGGCCAATGGCCCGATCTCCGAGAAACGGGTGGAGCCCATCCGCAGCTTCTCCTGGACCGACGACGGCGGGGGGGCTGACCGGGCGTCGGAGAGCGCTTCTGATTTCGGCTGGGTGTCTGGGGACGTCTTTGGGTGGAACAAGGCGTTGAAAGCTTTTTTTCGGGGGGACAGAAGGTGCCGCGTCGACCGTCCGGACCCCCTCCAGCACGGCGAGCAGCCCCCCCCGCCGTCGCGGCGTCGCGTCCGGAGGTGCCAAAGTGAAGATCTACTTGCAACTTCCCGAAGGAGCCGTCGGTGTCAGTGGTGCGCCCTTCCTGTGCTGTGCTGTGCCAGTGGTAAAAAGGGTTTTTCAGCGTCGGGTTTCAGCCCTTTGCAGAAAGGAGCGAACAAAACGTCACACAACGGCGCACCTGTCTCACCAAAATATACCAAACTTGTATATTGATGACTGATCACTCCCGATTTGGTTCGTGCGTTTGGCCAGACACATGGAACAGCAGATTCCCTTCAAGAAAGGTCACAGATCCGCAGATCTGGTGGCTGAAACGATGCGATGATTCTGCAGGAACTCTGCAAGATGCTCAAGTGTCGTGTGACTTTCAAGTCCAAGGCTTTCATCTACAGGCCGGTCATCAGAGTGGTTTGCATCAAGTCGACTTCGGATGAACCGTCAGGTTTTGGGAAGGTCCATTCAACATCACTCAACCTCGTCTTGGAGAAGTACTTTGCAGCATTTGCATTTTTCAGTGACAAACTTTGTTTTTTGGGAGCCACGCTGTGAAAAATGGGTCGCGGGTGATCACGCTATTTTTCTGGGGGGAAGGGTGGCAGCAGTGTGCCTGAAGGGCTTTAGGCCTGTCAGATGCATGATGCATGGTCTTTTTTTGCGTTCATTTTCTGCAAACTGGCAGGTGGCGTCTGCCTCTGCCCGGCGCTCATCGAGGTCAAACACGGTGAATTACAGATGAAAGAAAGCTACTGAGCAGGTCTAGTGATGAGAATCCAGTATTAGAACTTTTAACCTGCACACCCTAAGATGGATCCTTCTTGAGTCTTCACCTGCAAAAATCCAACCCATCTGCCACCTCGCAGGTGGGAAGATGGTCTTCTTGGGTCTTGGGTGGGTGGGGTACGGTATCTTCCTAAGTGCATGCGGGTCCTCACAGATCTTCATGGATCGGTCAATGAACTCCCCGGCCGTGGCGCAGGTTCTCTCGCTTTCGTCGAACGCCGAGGCCACGTACACCTGCAAGATGGACCGGTTGTATGCCGAGATCGTGCCCGAACCACAGAACCCCGTCGCTCCGAGCCTTTTTCTCCAATCCCGTGATGCCCAAGAAGCTACTAGCTCGTAGCTTCTTGTTACTAGTAGCTTCTTGCCCTTGTGACTAGTCACTTCTTGCTACCCCTGAAGGTTGAGGTTTTGACCCATCATGTCCGGAAAGCATATTCTTGTGATGGACCTGGCCCTTGGATAGATGGATCTGCCAGCCATTTGATCAGGCCGCTATGACACGCGGTCGGTGTAGGATGAGCCAAAGTCGGTGAAACTGCTCTTGAGCGTTCAGCGTTCCTCATGAGAAAAAACCCATCTCGCCCACCCACCAGCAGCGTTCTTTTTCATTAATCATTCTTTTTTGGGGGACCAACTCTTGGCCACCCAAACTTCAACTCCTCTGCCAAAAAAACCTGCGCTCCAGCTGGGGAGGCCGGAGGCCTGCACGCACCGCTCCAACCTGGAGAAGTCCAAGGTGTGGACCTCTGCTTCGCGGCGCTACCCTCCGCACGGACACACGGACGACCACTTTTTGTGAGTTCTTTGGGGTGTGAATTCCATCGTGCTGATGGGATCTGGTGGGGCCCTACACATATCATAGCATTCTTTTATATATACCTTTTCCTTTCCTTGAGTGACAGTGCTCGACAGGTGACAGTGACGGTGAAGAAGAAGAAGGATCAGACATGGTATGAGTTGAAGAAGAACTGACACTTCACGGGTTAGGAGGATCAGCGGATCGACTAGCTGGCGCCAAGTCGCGAGCGGCCCGTAGCGGCATCGCTCTCGGCCATGGCTCGACCGGTCCATGTGATGCTGCAAGTGGTGCGCAAAAGACGGCGGGTTTGGGCCGGTCGTGCTTGGGATTCAGGCTCCTCAACTGGAAGTAGGCAAACCTTGGGAGGTGAACTGATTTCTAAACTCATGGACTCTGGAGAATGGCACCCTCAAAGGCTGTTGTCCTCTACAAGCCAGTGGTTTTCCACAATCTATGTTAGTTTTCAGTAACCTCGTGCCTGAACCACCCACAAGGGTGGTGGGGACAGAGGGTTCTTTCTATGGACGGGAGAGGGAAGTTCATGCAGCAGTTTCAACACCGCTTCGCCAGTTCAAACCCTCGTGAGATGAATGTCCCTCGCAGATCGCCAGTTCCTTGGCTTTTTCACCCTGGATTCATCGGAACGTTCAGCTTTTCACCACCGTTTTTCTCGGCGGCCACTGTGCGGCTCCAGTGGAAAGCGGCCGCGGAGCGCGGCTCCGCGCGGGCGGGCACCGCGGTGAAGAGCACTGCGGCCCGCGAAGACGCGCCGCGCGCCCATCAGGTGGCCGGGAGGTGGCTAGGTGTGACGTGGGGCCTGACAGTTCGACCGGGTGTGAACTTGCTTCGGAACGATTCGGGAGATGTGATGTGAGGCCTTTTGACGTGCTGCAACTGCGCTGCAACTGCTGTCAATAGGTCTAAGTTTGCAGGTCACGTCAACCTGTTGTCAATCAGCTTGCCATCAGCTGGTAGCCTCCTCACTCCCTCTTCAGCCCCATCCAACGTCAAATGCGAGGAACGGACGAAGACGATTGAGACCGGTTTAGAGTCAGGCAGGTTGGAGAGGCACGAAGACGACCCTTTGGTACTTCCTCGTTTGGTGTGCCAAGAGACAGGCCGCGAAGAGACAGGCCGCCGTTTTCATCCGGCGCTCGGTATGACAGGATGCCCGGCGATGCGGGCCGCTCCCGCCCAAGGCAGACGCGGTCTGGGTGGAGGGGAACCAGGTCATTCGTCCAAGGAATGGGTGGGAGTTGGCTTTGTAGGTGGACATCTTCATCCCGTGGTGAAGAACTCAAAAGAAAGAATGCCCACTAGTAGCTTCTTGTTCCTAGTAGTAATGGCCTCCACCCTAATAGCGATGGCCTCCACCGTTCGTAGCTTCTTGCTCCTTCGCAACCAGGCCTGTGGCGCCGTTGGTGACTAGTAGCGTGGCACTTGTTACTACTAGTAAGGCACTTGTTCCTAGTAGCTTCTTTGTTACTACTAGATCCTGGTGAAACATCCCCACGGCTTCGCACGGCATGGCGTTGGCGCTCTACGGCGCACCGCCTCTGTCGCTCGGACTGACCGCGCACCGCCGCGCACCGTACGCGCAGGTCGGCGGCCGGCCGTAGTGGTTCCAAGGGGGCGCCCAATGGCAAGAGGTGCGGTGCGATGCGTCGCACGCTGTGTCGAGAGGTCCAGCCGCACACTTGGACCTGTGCAGAATGCTGCGGCTAAACAGGATGGCTGGCATATGGTGGACGGTTCAAGTTGAGGCTTTAGGAGTTGGTAGCGGGAAATTCCATTGAGAAGTGGTTGGTGTGGGGGGCAATCTGACAATGTGGGCCTTTGATCAATTGAAGAATAGTTCTTGCCACAGTGCTGTATAGCTTAAGCCTGTGAAGCCTACGTCCGACCACCGAGAGATCAGCGGCGCTTGCCCTGTGAGATCCGTTCGGTAGGGCGAAAGCCAGAAGACCCAGCAGTGCGGCTGCCACCACTGCTAAGTGGGCAGGAGCCGGGGGGGCAGTTTGGCTGTGGGTGGGATCGGAGGCCATAAGAAGATGTCTTTTTTTGCACCAACTGATGATTGAACACGTCACGGGAACAAGGCCGGTCACCCAGCCCCGTTCCCCGGTCGCCTCACCTTTCTTCCGTCTTCGTTGTTGAAGTGCCGGACGACGCGGACCTCTTGGAGTGGACAAAGACGTGGACCTCATCAGGCCGTGAAATGGGAGACACGCGCGGTCCCAAGCTGATATGGCATGGCTCTTGTTCAGACCTTGGCTGCCACATGCTGTCAGTGAGTTTGGGATTCTGTGAGGAAGGCCACCGATGATGCCTTTAGGATCCTTTGGGTCCTTTAATCAAGCGCCCAAGCTGATCCAACATCTTCAGAAAGGACTTGCTAGGTTATCTCAGACATCTCCCATGGTTTGTATGACCTCAGTCACCTTCCGTCCGCCTTGACCCCGTCACCCCCCCAGGCCATGGGTGGCGTCCATTGGTGGCGGCATCCACACCAGCCCGGGCGCCCGGAGAAGACTCGGGCGAGCCTCGCCCGCGGCCTGGCGCAGCACGGAGAGTCAGAGAAGGCTGGGCAGGTCTTGTTCCTAATAGCTTCTTGTTACTACTAGTAAGGCACCTGTTACTACTAGCGTGGCACTTGTTTCTACTAGCGAACCTTGTTAGTAGAGCAGACCGAAGGTTCGGAGGAAGAGGAGGTCGATGGCGGTCGACCGAGGTTATACTGCGATCGGTCAGCCGCAAGTCCAACCGATTCTGGCAGATCCCAGAAGCCCCTTCGGCTGCAATGGGCGGTTCGTGCAGACCCCGGCTCCAAATTCCGTGCCCGAGAATCCGAGGATGGTGGTCAAACATGGTCAAACATCAGATATCGTGGTCGCAGGGTTTTAAGCATCGGAGCCGTGGCCAGGCGCCAAGACCAGATATATAGGGGTCTCTAGGGGGATTCTGCGCGGGATGACCGCTTGGTTCCGTCCCTTTTCCACCGTCCCAAGCACTCCACGGCTCCACGGCTCTTGGGCTCACCGCCGCGGAGTCCCACCGCGGCTCACGGTGGTGTGGGGCTTCGGTCCAGCAGGGTCTGCGGGAAGTGGGCCTTTCGGATTGCTAAGAGCACAAAACCTGGCCTGCCCCTGCATCACCGGGGGCCGAGACACACGTTTCGTATGCACAGTGTCGGATTGGACCATGGTCCGAAAGACCAAGCTAGAAGGTGGCGAACTCCACCTCCGGCCCCCGCCAGTGTCTTTGCTCCGTGCCTGCCTGACATGCTCGAATTTGACTCTGCCTGACGACAGAATCAACAACCGACATGCGCCCACGGATGATTTGGGTGAGCTGTGAGCTTGAGAGAGGAGCTGTGAACTTGGAGATGTTCCCATCACCCGACAGACGTCGATTTTGCTATGAGAAAGTTACTGATTTTGCCCAGTCTTTGGCCTGGCGATCGCCGTGACCTTTTTCAAGGCCATTCCACTTTCGAAAGGGAATCCAGGGTGCTCGGCTCGGGGGTAAAAAATCTTTTTTTCCACTTCGAAACCACTGGGATCCTCCCCCCCCAAATCCCCAAGGCAGTCGCTCTTCCACCGAGGATCCGCGCGGTCCACGCCACCGGCGCCGGCGGCGCCGAGCTTCGAGCTGAAAGTGGCCTCGGACCGAGACCGCGTGCGCGCGTGCGAGGAAGGGGGTGGAAGGGGAGCGGGAAGGCCAGAGGAGCGGGCTTCGGTTTCGTAGTTCGTAGGTGGTGCAGATGGACCACTTCCAAGGTGCAAGAGGCGCCTGTCATGGTGTCATATTCTGCTTGGCTGCCTTTCGTTGGGCCAAACCCATGCATGTTTTTTTGCGTGCGCTTGATTTCTGATGGACCTTGGCGCGACCAAAAGCGGACCACCTTGGCCAGCGTGAAGCCATCATCCATTTTTCGCGGAGCGGTGCTGATGAACTTGGGGAGGCACACCTGTGCCTGTTGGAGCATAGTTGTTGTATCCATGTACTGTATAGATCTCCAAAGGGTCCGGTGCAAACGAGGAGAGAGAAATGCAGTGAAGCTGCGTGAGATAATGGTTGGGACGCGTTTGACCTGACACCTCAGAATCCTGGAAGGACTACTGTAACAAAAGGTCTTTCAAAGGAGTGCCATCCCTCACTAAGCTCCCTGGGAAGGGGCTGGAAACCAACGGCCCCTCCGTTCCTCCGTTCACCCGGTCCGAAGGCCGAACGAGGTTTGTTCATCACTGAGAAGGGTTGGGATGAATGCCATTGGGCTCGAACGTCCAGTGATGGGTTTTCTGGTGCCCCAGAACTGATCGAAGTTGGCCAGGATGAAAGTCAATGAGATCAAAAGCAGCAAGGGCCTTCAGTTGCAGCCAGTGACAGTTCTGTCTTCAGATGCACAAGGCCTGGCGAATGACTGGGCTGACATGATTGAACAGAAGTTGAGCTACCTTGGCTACCCGGTCCGTCGTGGTTCCGTGGACTGCTTCCACGTTCCTGCCTTGGAGGCAGAGGATATGGTGGTTTTCTGTTTGGACAGTGCATGTGGTGACTTTCTGGAGGAGTTACTCGAGCAGTGCGATGCTTTGGATCTGTCGTCGCTAAGATATTCCATCTTTGGTGTGAACTTGCCGGATTTCCCCGTGGCCCAGATGGCGAGTGCAACCAATGACCTCCTGGACAGGATGGGGACCAAGCAGATGATTCCGACACGGCTTGGGGAAGTTTTTCTTGTGCAGGATCAGTGCCAAGAGTATCCTTTGGGATTTTTGGAGTGGCTTCGCGAGCTCCTGCCAGCCACTCGCCTGGCTCAAGCTGAAGTCGCCCAAGCTGCACGCATCACCAAGCCCGCACGGCGCGCGCGGCGCAAGCGGGCCTGGCGGGCACGGGTCCGGAGGGCAGCAGAGAACAAGAAGCTGAAGATGATTTGCAGGGCAGTGATGTTGGTGAAGAGTTTGAAGATGAACTCTTGGGGCGTTTCTTCTCATGAGTCCGCCTCCGAGGCTGACTGCAGCTCGGAGGGCAGCTCCATGGGGCTGAGCATGCCGCGGGCGGTGGGGGAGTACCTGGAGCGCCGGAAGTCCTTTCCACAGTCCCGGGTGGAGCAGCAGGGCGGGCTACAGCGGACGGAGTTCGAGATTTTCTGTGCAGACCTCGGTGCGGCGGAGGCGCAGCTGAGGAGGATGCGGTGGGTGAAGCTGATTGCCAAGGCGATGCTGCACTTGGAGGCAGACGGGGTGGATTGAAAAGACAGTGGGTGAGGGGGGACATGACGGAAAGATAGGTGCCAATGAGATGAAGGAAGGGCGATACAGGCTGCCGATGTTCAAGTCTGCCTTGTGGCACTGTACAGGCACAGCTGATGTGTAGAGACCGGGGTGCCGGAAAGAAGGGAAGGGTGATCGTGACGCGGAGGGAATCGGAGTTTCTTGGGTCAGTGGTTGGGTTCAGGATGTTGCTGTTCTAGGAGCGTTCATGTTTCCAATGGTTTTGTGGGTTCGTGACTGGTGACTGATGACATCTGGTGACTAATGACTGATAGATAGTAACTACTCCACTGGTGTTCAATCAAGATCCGCTGTGATTGCCAGTCAGCATGGCGTGGTTTTTCTGCAGCGGCTCTCTCCTTTGTGTTGAGTGGCTTCCAAGACAGACATTCTTGTTCACCGCTCCTGGTTGGTCCGCACGCCGTAGTAGCGGAGAGTGGCGGGGGCCACAAACCTAAAGGCCAATGGCGATACCTTTTGACTTCTCACATGTTCCCTAGAAGTTGAAAAGTATGCCGCGCTCAGTGAAGTGCAGGCAGTTCCTCTTCATGCCTCCTGAAGATTCAGTTCTTTACTCCAGGTCTTGGTCCAATTCAATGTGTGAAAATGGTGTAGTTTGGAGCCTCCTGCATGGGGGATTCTGGCTTCAATACCAAGGCCATTCCCAGCGCACATGGTTTGGTGGATGCCGGATGCCCTAGCTGCGTCTAGCGGCGATGCTGGGGTGGGTCAAAGAAGTACCCCAAAGCCGTACTTCCATGGACTTTTCGTTGCTTTTGGTCTGCGCCGTGCCTGTGCCCGATAATTTTTTGGGAAATGACCAGCGGCACCTTCCACTTAAAGGTCGGCTCCCCCCAGCTGGTTGGTCCGGCGGGTGTGTTTGCCCAGGTGGCAGGCAGCTGACATTGTTCATCTTGTTGGTGTGGTTAGCGCTGCCAAATTCATGCAGTCAGCGCACTTGCGAGTCCAATGTCATGTGCTACCAAAAGTAGCAAGTATATTAAAAAACCAACTCTACGCACTGGTTTTGCCTTGTGGACCAAATATGCATGTAGAACAGGTGCGCAGGTTCGTGGAGACAAGATTGATCAGACTGCTGAGGTTGTCATCATATTATGTGCGGCACCGTGAATTCATCAGACAATCTCAGTAGATGCAGGGTTAGTGCGACACTAATGACTCCCGGGAAATGAGCAGTAGAGTTTTGCTCTCACTGTTCTTATTTCAGGATGAGGATAGTTTACGAAGCCATCCCCCCAGTTTCCTTGTGGGACACCTCAATTGGAAAACCAATATCCTAAGTGTTTCACACCTTGGAGACAGCCTTGTCCCTTTCGGAACCTCCACGGATCCGCCGCGACTCGTTCAGAAGCGGGAGCTCCCGCCGGGGGAGCACTTGCGGCGCCGGGGGGGCTGAGCGGCTTTCGCGTGGACGGCTTGGCAGGGTTTGGCGGGAAGGTCTGACAATGAATGTCTATAGATTTGGGGTGAGTGGAGGGGCCGCCCGAATTTGCCTATAGGCCGGTGACTCCTGAAGTCCAAGGTTAGTAGATTTTGGGGTGAAGTGTTTGCAAGATTTTTCAAGGTTGGGCGGTTGGAGCTAAGAATGATAAGATCAAGAAAAGGCTCATAGAAACTGAGAAGCAGGTTGCGTGAGAAAAAGAGTGTAGCGAGTTGACCCCTGGAGACTGGGGATCCAACCTTGTTGGCTTAGTTCGATCTAGCTTGCCAAAGCAAAGCGTTTGCAGCTTGTTTTGTCCCAGTTTGACACTTGCCAGGCCTCACCTTTTGCCCTCGTATGCGGGCCAAAGGCTATTGCCGCCTGCTGGGGGCCTCAGAAACAAGCTAGGTGTCTTTTCGCCCGGAGGTCTTCCCCAGAACGCCTGGTCTCGATTGAGTGTTTCACTGGCGAAACTTGACGCACCCCTTTTTCGCTGGTCCACGAGGCTTAGCGAGGCTTGCCGCCAATGAACATGTGTATTGGCCCTGTGTGATCTCATCAAAAAGAGCCGTGCCAGAGCTCACCAGGTTTTTCACATGAAGTACCATTGGGAGTGAACACCAGTTCCTTCTTTTGGCTCTCCCCTACGGCTTTTTGACCCCCGCCTCATCTCCACGCGACCGTGTCTCATCTCCGCGCGACCCTTGTGTTTCGGCGCCACTCCAACTCGCCCACGCCCAGGCCGAGCTGCCCCTTCGTCCACGAGGTCTGCCGCCCGCGGAAGGAGTTTGATCCGCTCTATTGCGCCAACGCGCCCGGGCGCCGAGTTCCGAAGCCGGCGAGGGCCGACATCGGCATGGTGCGGGACGGTTGAGTGTGAAGAGACGGTGGAGCGGTTTGGTCGCTGAAGTGTTGGAGTGCGTGGCTTGGACTGGAAGACTTGGACCTTGGCGGGCCAAAGAGGGTTTTGAAATGCTTTGAGGAGGATTGTGCCAAGCTTCGAGGCCACGCTTCTGCCACATGCTGCCCTGCCGCTTCTTTGCCGTCCTGGGATGCTGTATCTTGGCCTGGCATGGATTTCGGGGATGTGCCGCTTTCGATTCATTTCTCCCGGTCTTCGGCGTCAATTGCGTCCTCGCCAGCTACAATTCCAGTTTGGCCTAGGCTAGTAAGTAGGCATCAAGTGCTTTCACCGATGGGGCAGTCGTGGCTCGGTGTTTGGCCATCAGTCCTCAGCACCAGGCATCGTCCGCTCCGCTCCGATCAAACCGGTGTCCGGTCTCCTCGTGGCGCCGGCCCCGTCCACCGTCCGAGGTCCTCATGGGGAGAGCTGCATTTACTCCCACGACCTACGGCCGATCACGCCGCCCCGGAGCCAAGTCACCGCCTCGGTCCGCGCGCAGCGACTGCGGCGACGACTGCGGGGTGCCGCAGTGCGGCGACTGCGGCGCTGGTGGTTTTGGTGGAGGTGTTTGGCTGGTGTCCTGTTCGGGTGGGAGAGAAGGGCCGGTGGAGATCCAGAGCTTGGAGCTGCAGAGCAGAGGAACAGGTGAGATCTTTCCCAAGCCCCGCCCAGAGTTTCTGGAAAGGATTGGGGGAAGCTGGAGGGAAGAGAGGCGGAGGATAGATATGTAGTGTTCTCTTGAGATGTCGCCAGGCATGGTGCCCAGAATCAAGTGAAGCAACAGAGGAGAACCAGGACGGTCCTTCAGACAGTTCACTGCGAACTTGGCTCACAGGATGGCCCGCCCTTCGAACGATTTCTTTTGACCTGAGGACCTCAGGTATTTGTATAATATGTAGTACATATCACATATCATATATAGTATATCATATCATTTCATATCATATCATCATATCTATTTATTGAATTCTTTTTTGACTTCCCAACAGCACACCCGTGACAGTACTACAGAGGTGGTGCAGGCCTGCGCATTCGGTCCACTCGTTTTCTGCACTGGGAAGACCCTGTCCCGTTGGGTGGACCGAGCCCCAACGGCACCACCTCGGTCTCGAAGAATCGATCGATCAGATAGCCTAGAAGTCCCAGCAAGTAAAGGGAGTAAAGTGAAGACTGAAGAACTCGGGTCACCTAGTCAGACCCTTCTTTTTTTTGGTCTTGTCTTTCTCCCAGGGGATATCTCATGGATGAACCACTTGCACCGCCCTCGACAGGACGAAGGCGAAGAAGAAGAAGAGAAGAATTCGACCGCAGAGGCCGCGCAGAAACCTTCCGGGACCTCCACCGGGCGCAGACACTCCTCCGGCGGGACCGCACGGAGGTGTGAGGTTCGAGCTGCACCACGGGTCACCTCCTGGATCGGTCTCTATCGTGTGCAGCTCACCAGCTTTTGGAGGTGTCGGGGTGTCAGACAGGACCATGACTAGTTCCCGAAAGCATTGCGAAGGGTTCTTCCGGAAAATCCCTTGAACACTGACACTTCGACACTTACACTTACACACTGACATTTCCACACTTGCACTACAACATGAAGACATGAGCACACATGAACACTATACGTACCCCAGTGTAAGTGGAAGAGCGAAAGCATCCAAGTGCAAAAGTCTGCAAGTGTCAAAGTATGCAAGTGCAATGATGAGTATGCAAGTATGCAATGAGTATGCAAGTGTGAGCATGGAATGGAAAACTAGCACGGGAGATGTCTAAATGAAAAACATTTCCCCACTTTATAAATTCTCTCTTAAAGGCGGAGGGTGGGACGAACAGCGTCAACCGAAAATGCAACCCTCTGCGGAGATCGTGCGCGTCGAGTGCGCGAAATGCAGGCGAGAGTGCGATTGGTGCGGTCCGCGCGCAACCCTCTGCGGAGATCCGGCGTGTCGAGTGCGCGAAATGCAGGCGAGAGTGCGAGTGAGTCTGTACGCGCGCAACCCTCTGCGGAGATCGGGCGTGTCGGGCGCGAAGTGCAGGCGACTTTGTAATACAACTTTAGTACGCGGAGTATCTGGCGAGTTGGGAGATGAGA